TTAAATTAGATATTAATAAAAATTAAATGTAATTAAAATTAAATATAATTAAAATTAAATATAATAAAAATACTAACGAAACGTATATTTGACTTAAATACTAATATAAATAGTAATTTAGTGTAAAGGTTTAGCCTAGTTAACAAATTTTGTTTATAGTGTATACTTATCTAAATGCGTTTAATATAATACGTTTTAAAAAATGTCAATATTATTCGCAAATTCATTTCAAATTAAGAATTAAATTCTGTCGATTTTTACGTAAAGAAATTTCTCTTTCTTCTTGATGAAAATTTCCACTGTACAATTAATTGCAAGGAGAATTATCGGCCTAGTCTTATCTGGCATGGTTCCTGTATACTGTCACTTTGACAACTTAATAAAGAATAATCGGTCGCTCGTGTTGGTAATTCGTAACGAGGTACGCGATAGCTCTTTTATCTGTAGACCACAGGAAGTCAGTAGCGATAAAAATCCTTCGCGAAGCCCTACGAAACGTGTGAATGTTGTCGGTTTAATGCATTAAAAATCTTGATTTAATCAATGAAAACGCACGCGCGCTATAACACTGAATTTAAAAAATATTATCAAATATTTAGAACTGATATTATATAAATATTTATAAAATAGAATTATATATAAATATTTAAAAAATAGAATTAACAAAAAACGCGAGGATATTTTTTAATTCCTCGATAAATTAAAATTCTAAATTGCGTCATCCTAAATTAGAGTCCTTAGATTATATTAATTAATTTGCAATCAATTTTTCTCGTGTCACTCGATACTCGTCAACGAGACGTCGTTGAAGGTCTCCTTTCGTAGGGCTTCTTATAAGAATTCCTTCGTCATCGCGTTACATTTTCGCAGCAAGTTTCGTCCTTTTTCTTTCGTCCGACCGGTTATTCGCCCTTCGTCTTCTTCGTTTGAAACAATAAAGCCAATTCGACGAGGGAGATTCGCAGATCCGATTTGACAGGATCAGGACGACCATCCCGGATGCTGAAGGGATCCTCCCTCTCGCTACGCAAATACGGGATTAAGGTGCATTTACGGCTTTACTTTGGGTCATATGTTTCAATCGATTTATACGATTTGAATTTCGAAGTGTCGATAAAAAGTATCAACCTGCTACTGTTGAATTCAATCTGAAATTAATAGAGGAAGACAATAATCGTTGGAACAATTTATATAAGAGGATATTAATATTATCACAAGTATATAAATGGTGGCTAATTAAGAATCTAGTGTGGGGAGCAATGCACAAATTATTTTTTCTTGATTAAATATTTTTTAGTATATTTAGGTCCTGATTTCGAGTAATCTTCAGCAAATAATATAATTGAATCAAAATTGCACGTACACGGAATTTTCTCTTCGAATTTAATGAAAATCATGGTAATCGTGGGACAATATTGATGTTGGAAGAATTTTATAAGAGATTCTCTGTGATTAATATTTACAATAAAAAATAATAATGTACATAGTAAAATTAATAAAATATATTTTTTGGTAGATATTAATTTCAGGGTAAATTCCAAGAAAAAATGCTTTGTGTATGATTAATTCAATCATAATTTTTTCATTAAAATTAATCAATTATAACAATTATAATTTATTATAAATAATAATTTAAACAATTTTAAAAAATGTGCACCGCTTATCGCCCAGAACTCTTAGGGCCGATTTTTTCAACTTCTCGGTAAGTTTTACCTGACAGGTAGCACACATATTTTCGTCTCTTTTTAGATAAGTTCTAAAAAAAGAAACAAAGATAAGCTACTTGTCGGGTAAAACTTACCAAGAGTTGGAACAACCGGCCCTTAATTGGCCAGCTACCTGTGACATTTAAAATCTCGAATTCACGTTCCGAAATGTCAAAATACTACGACTGGAAGATATATTAAAGGGACCGTTTGATATTCGGGGTCATACAATGTTCGCAGATAGTTTACGCTTCGCCGACAATTTCGGCCTTTGAGATGGACCAGGTCCTTTCGTCAGAACTCAAATTCGTATGTCGAATATATCTTCTCGTGTTGCGAAGGGAAAGAACGCAAGATGATTAATAGAATTTGGAAAGGTTTGCTTCTATTTTGAACACATCGTGCTTTCTTCTTTCGTTCCGATCCTTCCTCGTAACGTCCTGAATTCTGCAGGCTTTCGAAAACAGTATACAAAGGCGTGCTCGTTTTACGTCCAAGTTTACTGTCACCAACAATACAATGGACAGGCGGGGAAAGTCATTCTGTCATGGGTCATTGGTTAACAGAGCGGAGAAAACTTTTGTCATCCTCCGTAGAAGCAATTCTCAACGAATCTTATCGTAAGAATTTTTCGGAGAGCGTCCTGCGGATTAAAAGATATATTAGTGTGTTTCGTTGCACAAGAGTTAAAAAAAAAAAAAAACACTCGTTCCTCCAGATTACAGAATGCACAGAAATATTTATTGAATAGCCCTGTAGAAATATTAATAAAATGAAAGACATGGGAATAAATTAAAAATAGTACTGACTCTTCTCCATAAAAATCCTGATATTATTTTCGTATTAGTTTATAATACACATTTTTCACGCAAATCCCTAGAGTGGAACAATTAGAATGATGTCGATTATTTTTCTCGTATCACTTAACACGATGAAATCTAATTAGACGAAATAATATATCCACAGTGAGAGATAGACATGTAAAAAGAGTACATATCGCTTCGATGATAATCTTAATACACTCTCTATACACAGTTACACATCATCATCATCATCATCATCATCAGGATATTCTCGGTGTGAAGCGCAGGGAAAAAAGGCGAAACAAGCGGAGAGAATCCGACGCAAAGAACGGCATCTTTAATCTAGAAATTCTTTACAAATATGTACAATGTAACGAAAGATTTTCTTTGTCATGTTACTTCTTTTTTTTTTCTTACGTACTCAACTTAAAGGTAAAATGCAAGCAGACGCAACGACTCCGCACACACTGACTCATCGACACTCGCTAGCCGGGGAATCATCGTGATTCACGCGTTTCGTCGATGATGATGAGCCACGCCGCTCGATGACGCAATCGTTATCACGGCCGTTGTGTCTCTTCTTTGCGATCAGACGCGAATAGCTTCGCTCTCGCGCGAGTGAAAGGAGATGCGGGAGAAGAGAAGACAAAGAAAAAGTGTATTGCGTTATAAAAAAAAAAATTAGACATGTTTTTAGAGAGCGCCATCGTGAATTTATTTGACAAAATATTAAATACAAAAACAAAATGCTTAAAATAAAATTAAAAAAATTGTGTGATACCTCTCTTCACGGAAAAAAATATTAGCTATCATAGATGAAATATAGCTGTATAGTTCAATGAAGAATTCTTCATTTAATTATATGTTTAGACATGGCAATTAAATTTAAGGTGTAATATAGAAATATTTAAAATTGACTGCAGTAGTACTAAATTTTTTTTCGTATGCGAGAAAATGTGAGTTTGTCTATTCTATAAAAATAATTTCAATATTAAAATATGACATATATGAAAGTCAAAAAGAATTTTTAAAAACTAAGAAAAATTAAATCTAAGAAAGTTTAAAAAAACCCAAGAAAATTTAAGAAAAAGGTTGACATATATGAAAGTTAAAAAATTTTTTTTAATTAAGAAAACTAAATCTAAGAAACCTAAGAAAATTTAAGAAAAAGTTTAATATTAGATATAAAGATAAATTGATGACAAATTTTTTTTTTTTAAGAAAAGCATGCAAAAAAAAAAATGTTATTATTTTTAAAAAAGATAAAAATAAAATATTACACGCGCAAAGAGACACTGAGCAGCCGTGACTTCTTGACGTAAGCAAAGTTGCCTGTTCTGCGACACTATTGATAAATTCTCTTTACAAACGATCGTGTTGCTAACGTTTTACGATAGAACGTAAGCATTAAATTGGCCCAGGATAGATTTCCACAATGTTGTCTAGCCCTAAAATAATCGGTGATCGTTTCATTAAATGACGAATCATGTGTCGGATCGCAGGATATACTTATGTTAAGCACGCGATGTTAACGAGCGCTTTGACCTTCGGATTGATTGGTACATCGGAGATGAGCGCTATTTTTATCACCGTTGCAAAAATGATGGAAATAAATTGTTACTCTCATTTTTTATTGGAATTTATCGCGCGAGTAATATTGATGATTAATCAATCGAGAGAGTCTAAACAAGCCTATGACGAACGATTAATTTAATCGCAATCAACTGTAAAAGAGTTAAACTTTTAAACTATAATAAATACATATTTATATACATTTGATATATATAAATATATATTTCACGATACTATATATATTTTTTATATATATTTATAATATATATATACATTACAAATATTATAAATATTTAAATAATCATTGCATATTTATAAAATATATATATATAATTATTAAATATTTATATAATTACAATTTATATATATATTTACGTATTTATGAAAACTTTGAACTCGTGGATGAAACGTGATGAACTCGCTTAGCGCTAAACGACTGCTGTGAGAGCATTGTTAAATTCAGAGAAAAGGTAAAAAACCTTTTTAATGCGTAAAATTTCGCATTTCTCCAAATGCAACTAATGTGTTCAAGGTAACCGATTCTTTACGAGCGTAATAAACGAAAGCAAAGCCACATTCCACGTTTATATCCGGGACGAAAGCGCATTTGTCCACACATACTATTACATTTCGTTGTCAAACAATATTAAATTACGTTATGCTCGTTGCATCGCGTTAAATCATTTAATTCTGCAGCAGCAGCTGCAGCAGGCGAAATGACAGATACTGACGGAAACGCGTCGCAGAACAGGCGAGATCCGATAAAACCTATACATAACACCGCCTCTCGTTAAACTTCTTAAGAACGCGAAAAAACGAAGGGGAAATGCACGATTATCCCCGATATTTTCACGATATTTCACCTAATAGAACGTTGACGCGCTTAACATTATCGATCCAGAGGACAAAAGGATGGCTCTCTCTCTCTCGTCGTCGTCGTTATCATTCATCATCGTCATCGGGGGCAGTCGGATCTACGCGGGCCTCAGTAGGCCCGCAGTCTCACCTCCATCTCGGGGTCCTGGCGATGCGGCAGATGGGGCTCGATGCCGGTGGCGGTGGCGCCAGTCGCTCCCGCGCCACCCACGTGTCGACTGTGGTGGCCGTGATGGTGATGATGATGGCTCGCCGCGTGATGGGTGTCGTGGTGATAGTGATGGTTGAGATGCGGCGGCGGCTGCGCGGCCGCGGCCGCTCCGGTGCGGTAGGCCCGCTGCTTCTCCTCGAACTCGCGCAGCCGCTGATTGTAGCGCTCCAGCTGATCGCGTAGCAGAGCGTCCTCCTCGGCGGCTCGCTCCTCGTCGTACTCGAGGCAGCCCACGCCGTCGAGCCGGTCCAGGTCGATCCAGCCGCGCCACCTCACGCACACGCCGTTCATGATGAGATGCGAGCGCAGGTGAACCTGAAACACCGCGATCGGCGGGACGCAAAATTGGTCAGTGCTCATCATGTGTCTCCGACGTGAATGCTCGTCGATCTCGGTGGACGTTTGGGATGCTTCCTTCAAGGACGGTCTTGGGATCGATGGAGAACAATTTCTGGCTTGAGGTGAAATTGGGATCTTTACGTTTGTGCTCTCTCTCTCTCTCTCTCGTTGGATGTGGGATTCATTGAAAATGGATGCGAGATGTTGAAATATTTTTGGGTATCGTGGAGTAATCCTGGTAGTCGATACTCGTCGAACTCGATGGATGATGATTTAGGATGCTTCCTTCAGGGACAGTCTTAGGATCGATGGAAAATAGTTCTGGCTTGAGGTTTCGAATGTGTCTTGAGATGAAATTGGCTTTACGTTGTGCTTGTTTTTCGTTGGATGTAGGATTTTTCGATATCAAGGAATCTTTTCGAATTTTTTATCGCAAATAAAGGATCTCTTATGTAACTAAATATAAACTGATATAAAGTAGAGAATTTAATATATACATCAATTCCTAGTGTGATATTTCAATATTATGTTCTCTTTTCAAACATATCATAGATAAAATTCATATAGTACAGATTTCGAGAAGAAAAGAGTAAAAATTTTGATGAATTTTTATTTTCTCATTTATTTTAATAATTTAAGATCATTATCGTAATACTGTGCTATTTTCAGTTGTTGATATAAACTCATACAAGTTAAGAAATATTTTTCGCACTACTGCATAAAAATTACATCTTGTAAAGGGTCAAATATTAATTCCTTTTATTCAAATATATTAGAGAAATAGTAAAATCCATGTGTTGCAATGAATTTCATGATCAAAGGAGTTATAAATTAATCAAATGATAAATGGAACGAACATTGAAATATTTTGACTGCTAATCGCGTCCAAATGATTATTGACGTATATTATTATCCTCGAACTACGTGGGCGAAGAAAATGACGAAGGGGCTTCGATTCTCTCTCTTCGAGGCCGATATCGGCTCGCTTACAGCAACCTCTTACAATCTTTTCTTTTTCGAAATCTCTCTGGGTTGTAGGAGGGCTCCATTACCGGGCCACTACCCGCAAGTTTCAATCACGTTCTCTGGTCCCCCTTTTTCTCATGTTCAACAACGGCGAACGCTTCTTATTTCCGGAGAGCGATTACGCAGATTGGAAGGTACGAGGCTTCGTGGTCTCTTCGTCTCGGGAAGAAGAGATGAGAGATCGAGTGAGGCGAGGCTGCGCCTCTTCCTCGTATAAGAAATCAATTACGAGCAGAACTCTTTATAGCGTACACATTTATAGCGTGCAATCCTCGTTGTAAAATTATTATCTCGATTATTGCACTCGTTTGCAATCCTCTTATTGCGAATTAGAAAATTGTGTGATAATTAGTCGATCGAGAACGCGAGGAGTATTTTAATGTTCAATTTACTGCGGAATATGTCGAGTATTTCTATTATATTATATACATATATATGCATATTATTCTCATATTATTTATGTTTATCGCTTTATATTATATTCATTTATTTTTCAATTTATTTTCTTTTAAATTTTCCTAAAATCTGTGAACAAATTATAGAACAATAATTCTTCAAATTATTTATGTGAAAAAATATTTAATTTAATAATATATATAATAAAATTTTACGAAAATTATCTCTCTTTCTCTCTCTGTCATTTACTCCGTGTAATGTAGAATTGTTTTTCTCTTGGCTCGACATTTATGACTATTAATTAATCCGAGAAAATTGCCACGCGATGTTTTCCGAGGAAAATCTAAATGAACGGCTCTCGAAGAACGATTACCGCCTTCTGCGCCGACAGCGCAACACGGTGCTATTTTTTTTCTGGCAAACGACCCGACTTCCGGTGGTCCCGTCATGGAGCCCAGATATTATTACGAGGTCAAGAACGCTCGGGGAACCCAGTCGAGACTGTATTTGTGATCCTGACGTAATGAACGGTGACACACAATTAATGAAATTATACTTAAAATGCTGCACGATTATTCTGTACATAACACATTTTCATTTCATATTTATAAAAAAAATATATGATATAGGTATTTATTTTTCTAATATACATAATAAATATAATATTGAATTTAACACTTAAATTAATATAATTTCATCTTCAAAATCAATATAAAATATAATTAATATAAACGTGATAAGTGATACGAGATAAATAGTAAAAGAAATTATACAGGACATGATTATAAAAAATTGTACCATTTTCTAATATATATATATTATTATCTTTCCAAATTCTTTCATTATATACCTACCTAAAAGTATAATAAATTAAAATTATATTCCCAAAGAATAATTTTTTCTATTTTGCCAATGCATTATATGCTCGTATTCTTGAAATCATTAAAAATTATTGTTAGCATTCAAGGATACAGACGGCTTCGTTTATTAAGTCGTAATTAGTTCAGTACGAGATTCACGTCGAAGCCTCTCGCCGACGAAGAGGTAAATCGACGTTACATTCTCGTTTCATTCTTACAGCTGCGCCTGCAACAATGCACCGCGGGGCGCATTTTTATGCACTAATAATCGAGCCGCGGGGTGCGAGAACTTTGGGGGCCTTAAACGTTTTCGATAATCGAATCGCTCGCGGCTTCTGGACCCCAAAAGGCCTTTGGATTTTCACGAAAAAATTCGCGCCATATCATCAAAATGAGAATCAATTTATGTTTAGTTTTCCTCTCTCTCAAGAAAGAGAGAGAGACGCAAAGTTTCGCTTTCTCTCGCGCAATCTTATGCATATTAATGCCAGCTTCCAGGTATAAGGCGAGGCGGAAATATTAAATCTTATATATGCGGAGTTGCATATAAATATCAAGATATAAAGTATGACGCGCAAGCAATAGTTGGGAAAATACGTCTTTCGACACAAAAATTTCCGCTATGCATTTTTCCTTGTAAGAGCGACTTATGGTATATCTCCTGACGATTTCTACAGGTGACAGATCAGTGATATATATTTTTATTTATTTTTGTAGGCAGATAAAATTCAATTTATAGTAAAACATTTTTAAAAGATATTCGCATGATATATAAATAAAATATATTTCCTTGCTAAAACGTGAGTCGCTAAAAAGAGATGTTTTACCAAGGAAATATATATATATATATACATATATATTCACTAATGTAGATTATATATATGTTTTTACTTACTTTTATAAGCAGTCAAAATCTAATTCATGATAAATAATTTTAGAAAAATGTTCATGTTATATATACAATATCAGTTTCTCATAAATATTTCTTTTAATTACATTAACAAGGTCTGCATTTTTTAAATCGTATACGTTGTTTAAGATATATACACTGAAAAAAGTTCTCTATTTCGTTAATTGAATATAGAAATATTAAATTAAATATAACACATTAAATCTAACAAAACGTATGTTTTGACTGAAATATTAATATGTCCAATTAACAAATAAAATTTAATTGAACGGTTTAGTCAAGTCAACAATTTTTCTTCAGTGTACGAAAATATGTTCTCACCCGCGATGACATTCTCGTTTGCATCTGACATTATGCGAGACGAATTGCGGAGACATGTATATTTCGTGCGAGCGACAAGACACGGTCGCAAAATAAAAAAAAAAAAAACCTAAACACAGCGTGTTACTTAGATCTCGACGAGAAAACAGGAGTATAAACGCGACGCGAACGACGTATTCGTCCATTAGTCATCGCCTTCCTCGTTTCTCACGAGAAAGAACAGTAGGAGAAACATTTGTTTTCTCCTTCCGCTTCTGCTTTACGGGCGTGACGACCATTATCGTTGCATAATAGCCGACGATATTTAAACGCGCACGTCGCAACCCTTTCTAATTTGCATCAGCGAACCGAGGAAAAAGAGAGAAAAAAAGAAATAGAAATATATAGAGCGCGAATGAGAGATGGAAAGGGGTGAAAAGTCGGCGGCAAGGGCGATCCGGATTCGGAGGACGAAGGATTCCCGAATGTCCCGAGACCAAACGACCGGCTATTTCTCGCTGGTCCCTTTTGTTTCACAGTGGCGTCGCTGACGGCGCCTTTTTGCGCCTGGTCCCACTCCCCGAAATGAATGCTAGCCCTTGGAATCATTCGTCAACGAGATATCCTGATGAGAAAGGACGACGAGCTGTGGGGTCAATATGGCGTGTCGGCTTTGTCCTTCGCCTCCGAATCCGTTTTAGGTACGTTTTAATTTTTACGACGGCCGGATGTGCACGCTCGACCCAGTTTCCTATACCGTAATTTTATGATTCTTAAGGGAAGAAAACCCTCGCTGCGATCGTCAGTAAAAAAGTTATGCGACAGATCCTACGGAAATCACACACTGAAAAAAATCCATGTACTTTACATGGAAATTATTAGTTCAGAACTGGAAAAGTTATTTGCTTATCATTGGAATTTTTTTTTCCATTTGTTTTAAAGTGAAAATACATATTAATGTAAAAATACATGTAAAATATAGGTAAAATTACTATTTTTATGCAAAATCATATGTAATTTTAAATTCACCATTTTACTTTATTAGGATTTTATTTTATAAGTTTTATCTATTTATTTATAACATTATTTTATAGCATTTATACATTCCTAACATTTCCTATGTGTAATTACATGTTCAGTGAAATATTTTTAATCTTGAAAATATTAAGAATATATTATATGAAATTACATATAATCTGTAATCTTCCATGTAAGTATCAATATTGCATGATTTATGCTGGGTCAGAAAAAACCTAGCTTAATCATGTAATTTTACAATAAATATTTTTTTCAGTGTAGTTTCCTTTTCCTCAAGATTCCTATAAACATATATAGAAATCTTGAGGAAAATATATATATATATATATATATAATAATCCTCAAAATTTCCTATATATATATAGAAATTTTTCCGTTCCTACCAGAGAAAACTTTCTCTTAAAATTTCTAAGAGAAAAATTATAGCAGAATTTCTTGAGAAAATTCTCTCTGTATAGATATTTTGAGGCCATCTTCAAACTATATCTTTCCACTCGAAGTCTTGAAATTATTTGTCGCGAAGCTATATATGCGTTCTAAAATTAAACAAAAGCGCGATATCCTTTTATTAATCTCTGACATCGCCGATAGCTCCGTCCTGTGGAC